GGTGGGGTTGATGGTTCGGCTCCCATTGCGTCGCGGCTTTTTGCATTTTTTAGATTTCGCTGTTCTCGCTTCCATTTGAGTTCTGCGCATGAATATAACTCGGATAAGTGCCATTTATGGGCACATTCCGAGTAGCTGCACCTCATGAGTCTGTGCTATTCAACTATTTCGATTTTCACGCACCATTGAACAAGATTGTTGCTGGAAGTTGTTCCTCATAGGCTATACAGTGGATCTGATTGCGAATTTAGTAACTTCTGGTGTGGTGTCAATTATCGACAATTTGGGGCCACATCTTCCTTCCAGTGAATTCCTTCTGTACACCAATATAGGGAACGTTCAGCGCTATTCTGTCGCCAAATTGCGTGACGCCAAAAATAGGTGTTATATTTGGTGAACAGGGCCACTGATTACCACTAAAAACAAATTTTTCAGTCAAAAACATTGTTTTGACCTTCTTGGTTTTGCTTACTGGGTTGTCCGGTGTCCGTAGCGTCAACGATTACTTCATCGCTGTTACGAAAGATGTGAAACTCCGCTCACACTGCCGACAAATGGTCGGCCATCTACACCCGAAAGGGTGCAAAAAAAATTTTTTTCGCTCAAAACTTGATCCTAGGAGTAATCGACAGTCCTGATCACGATTCTAGACTTTATTTTCGGTTCCAGTGCCATCTGACACCGGCATAGCGCCGAAGAGCCGAGTCTGTGCATACTAACGAATTCGAACGAAAAAGCAGTTTTGCTCCATGAAAGTAGGATTGTTCAGTTTATCGTGAATGTTTTTGTTAGGACCACTTATTTAGACAAATATGGATCCAAAAAATGAAAAATTGTAGAAAAGCAAAATTTTGTCCTCGGTGGGATCCGAACCATGACCTATTTTTTACGTTCTTTTTTATTCGTAGAAGCGGCGCGCAGCGAAAACGAACCTCAGTTTTCTGGTCCTCGTATGTGCCCCTACAATATGCACAAGACCATTTTGAAAAAGCTCACCACGCCCTGAACGACCTCCCTTGTTAGTGAAAGGCAGATTGCCGAAGACGGCGAAACGTAGCTTTGAAAAGAAGCCGGATGGGCTGCAACTGTGGTGGGTATGCATGCAAAGCGGATCTGTAAGAGC